ATTTTTTTTTTTTTTTTAAGTTTCTAGGTGAACATGATTTTATTTGATGAAATGGTTTAGTTAGAAATTATCCATTTCACACCCTCCGTACCACATGAAACCCTGATCAAAGTAGAGGTATCCTGGTTGGTGTAGGTTTATGGGAGTATGCTACTTCTCTTTCTCCCCTTGTATTGCTATCATGGTACATGAGGAACTGGAAATCCTCAATGCAGTTAAAAAACATTTGGGTCCCATTAGGGTTTCCTATACTTATGTACTTTAAAAACCTGAATAGCATGAGTTGTAGGTATAATAGAAATATTTTCTCAGATTTAAGGGCAAACTCCTTCATTGATTAAGCACTGTTACATAGTTACTTATTGTGTTGTCTTCAGCTTCACTTGTAATTTTAAATTGGCTGGAGTTCATATCAGTTGTATTATGAAGACTTGTTTTTGCTTTTAAGTCATTGGTAAATCTTGTCATACCTGGTGCTCCACATTTTTAAAGTAAGAAAGGATTGAGGATTGCCTGTGTGTGTGTGTGTGTGTGTATGCTTGGTACTAAGCATCATTAAGTATTCACTTGCAAATTTCCTTTGCTGAACTTTGACTCAGGATGACAAAAGTGAAATGTGTGAAAAGTCCATAAAAATAAACTTTTTTTTTTTTTGGTATTTTATTAAAACACAGTGATGTAAGAAGAAGCTATTGTGAAGATAAATTTAAAATATTGTGAAGATAATTTAAAATATTGTGAAGATAATTTAAAATACTGTGGAGAGAATATAGCTTTTTAATATGTAAGTAACTTGTGGAGAGCCTAATATGCCTGGCATGTAGTTGTCAGTTTAATTTGAAAGCTTCATGCCTTCTGGTTCATTCCAGTTGTGGCAAGTAAACTGACATTTACTGAGCCATTGGCCTTTTAACCCTGGGCAGTATTACAGGCTTTCTTTGTTATTCTGTATTAAGCCATTAGGAGCTAGGCAGATGATTCTTGAGCTTTATGGAGATAAATTGTTACTCAAGATCCTATAGGTAGGTAGTGACCTTTGAAACCAGGCTTTTTGAAGTTGACTGCTTTCTAGTCTATTCTACCTGTACATCTCTCAGTAGCCTACACTTATCTCCTTTGCAGAATCACAAAACCTGGTGGTAGGTAGTCAGAGCTGTTTCTATGACTGGGGGGTGAAAGCAAACCTCCAGTATTCCTATTATTTTCATTGTTTTTGATAGGTTGCACAAAGGCGATTATTATTCAGGTAGTCGGGTTTTTGAAGGTCTCTGTATAATCTATAACACTTACATTACTAGTTGGTATTATGAATATTTTTCATTTGATCAGTGTAGGAGCAGGGCTCATTAAGTCTACCGTTGGTAGTGCTAGGCTGGACTTCTTCAGTTTCAGAGTGAGTGCGTATAAACTGACCCCAAAGCTAAAGATAGTTGTTTGGTCACTTCGGGGCTGACCATATTCAACTCTTTGTTAGCCCACATATGTCAATGAATTTATTATGATGTGGAACCTGACTGAGTTCAGGGATCATTTTCCTGTTCTCTGTTTGGTTTTTATGACAGATGACTTTTCTTTTTTGATAGTGACTATACATCCTGAATTTTATAGATTGTTCTAAACTAATATGCTGATTTGGTAGATAAATAACGTAGTCACCTAGATGGCAGGAGAGAGAATTGATCATCATAGCCAATTAAATTTTTGGTAATCATGTTTTCATTTTCACTAAAGGAATTTATAGCTGATTTAAATTAGGTCTTAAAAAACTCTTTCTAGTTGAGCAAACAAAACAGACATTTATATGTACTTTTTCTCTTTGAAATTAATTCTTCAATTCCTACAAATACATGACATAGTATCAATTGCCTTCTAATTCTGTGCAAAACTGTTAATAAAACATTACTTTTCTGAGAAGGAAGCCTTCTCTTTAGGTGACAAATCTTTCAGAACACCTTTGTGTTTGAGGTTTGGCTAAATCTGCTCATCATCACTAGGGGACCATATCTATACATTCTACAAATATTACTCTTACTCTAGAAATAATTCTTTTTTAAAAATGCTGTACCAAGGAACCAATCCACTTACCTTGTATAAATATACTTATTTTATTAGTTGTCCAACATTCTTTCTTAGGAGATTTACCTGAACTGTGAACTGTGGAAAAAATAAAGAGAACATGAAGCTTTTCGTTTTTCCATGTGTATTTTTCCAAAAAATAAAGGAATTTTGAAAAGTGTTCATTAAACTTTTGTTGAAGGGAATTTTATTTCTTTAAAAGAAAAAACTTAGTAAAATCTAAGTTTTACATGGGAGTCATGTTTAAGGAATGTGAAAATTATCTTCTGAAAGATTGAAATTTAAGGCTTTGATAATGACTAGAGTATGAAAAAATTGAGCTGCATTGATAATACAAAGTATTTTATTTTTCCAACAAACTAAGTTGACTTGTTTGGGGTTCTGTTTTTTCCTTTCCCACTCTTTAGCAGGTGCTGGTCTGTGGATGTATTTTTGTTTGAACTGGAAAAATCTAAAAGCCACAAGCTGGTGTGGTGTCCATTGAGGAAATCTGTCAGCAGTAGCTTTTGAAGGGTTGAAGAGGCATAAGCAGAAAGAGTTGAACTCAGCTTTGAACTCACTTTTGGCCCCTCCTTATTTCCCTCCCTGTGGGCGGAACATATCTAGGGAAGTTAGGGGACAGTCCTTGCATGGGAATTTCAACTAGTCTTTGAGTAGAATATGGCTTAGTGCATAAATCATATTTGACAGCAAGGAACAGTGTTATTGATATAGTAGCATTGCTTCCTAGAGATGGAGGAAGGAAGTGCTTGCTTTGTTCCTGAGCACTTTGCCTCTGAACAAATAAGCTGTTGCAGCAGCTATTGACAGACTCAATTCTGTTCCACATCCAAACACTGAAAGTCACTGGATTGGTTTCTTTCCCTTATTGGGGAACTTGTGGTACTGTCAGCTGCTGCTGCTTAGAAGAATAGTACCCAAAAGAAGGTCTTCTGACCTCCTTTGAACTAAGTTTACCTGTAAATGTTGAACAAGTGACAGGGAGATGGTTTGGATTTTGGGTAGCAGAGAGAGCTTCATCAAAGGATTTCATAACTGCCAATAATGATTTTCATTGTAAATGAAAAGTAGCTGTCTTTTCCACTGAAGCATTTAAAATGTACCCTTTTAAATAAACTACATTTGCCATAGATTTATTTAAGTGATAATTCCTAAATGATTTCAAAGTATTTGTTTACAAACTTGAAAGCTTTTGGGGCTGGGGAAGATGGTGGTAAAATATGACACAATTTCAGGAACTGCAGGTATGAAGTGATGCAAATCCCAACTTTATTATTTACCTTTGGCAATTTTATTTATGCCATCCAGTGACTCTGACAGAGGCAGGATTTTTAATCGATTTTCTTAGCATAATTATTATACTGCTTTGTGTTTTAAAAAAGGGATAAAGATGGGATTAACTTTTCTTTTTTTTAAATTTTGGTAGCTTTATGAATTAGACATAATAACCTAATTTGGTGGGGTATTAGTCTTTTTAGACCTTGTGCCTAGCTTCTTGCTGGTGGGAACTGTGTTTTTAAGTTTTTTAATATTGTGGGTATTTGGGGGTTTTTTTGTTTGGTTTTGTTTTGGTGGCAGGAGCTGAACCCAGAAGTGCTCTACTACTGAGCTGCACCCCAGCCCTTTTTATTTTTTTTATTTTGAAACAAATTGCTGGCCTCGAACTTGCAATCCTTCTGCCTCAGCCTCCTGAGTATCTGAGATTTACAGGCATGGGCCACCGTGCCTGGCTGTGGTCTGTTTTGAACAGTTTGGAAAAGAGATGGCCTCATTTATGGGATTTAAGTTTTCCATTGGATTTAAAAAGAAAATGCCTAAATTCATCATAAAGCAACAACATTTATCCTGATGTTGCTTCAGGAACGAGGAGAAATCACTTAGAAGTTAACATATGGAGGTGTTAGGTTGAATGGTAATTTTTTTTTTTTTTTAAGTTAAAATATCTTTGAAGAATTAGAATTTGTCTCTTTACCAGGGGAAAACCACTAAACTCAAACTTGATTTAGGTGAATTTAAATGTCTGTTTTGCAGAATGGTTACAGAATGGATATCTAAATCCAGGACTGACAGATATCAGAAGGACTTATTGAAGATGATTTATTTAATGATTAACAAATGTGTTTTGTTCAGGTTTGGAAGATAAATAATCCAGTTATTCAGTCTTCCAGAAAACTTTTTCTCCTCCCCCCTCCCCCTGATTTCTATACCCTTCAACAAAAAGGCATTAAAAGGAAGAAATGCTTGAGAGTGCTCTACAAAACTAAAACTTGAGTCTGTGCCTTTGTATGACTCAGAAGGTCTCTTGGAAATATTGCCTGAAGAAAAGAAAGGGAAGGAAGTTACCTCTTTTAAAGTTCTTTTTGTTTTCCAACAACTTCTCACTAGAGGAAAGAATAAAATGTTAGGATTGTTTTGTCAGTTGTATGTTTCCAGTTTTTTTCTGTGTGGAGTATCTTGTTTCCCTTTAGGTGTTTCAAGTCCCAGGTTATTGTATGATAACTATATAACATTTACAGTTTGCACAAACTGAGTAGTACTTGGTTTTATGTGTTTAAATTCTCTGGAGGAGATACTCACTAGCAAACACATTTGCTGTTCTATCCAGGACCCTAACTGGCCAAAAAGTTAGTCCCAAATATTCTTGAGATTCACAGTATTTGAAGATTCTCTTTGATACCCTTATTATAGTAATTAGTACTCCCTTCTCTTTAGGGTGCTTTATGATTTCCATTCCTGTTCCAAGCTGAGACTGCTACAGTAAGACAAGAAAGGACAATGTGATACAAAGTTACTTGCTGGAGAAGTTAGGCCACTTAGTTACGAGATGGATGAATTTTTGTTTTTAGTTCAAAATGATGAATATTCACACTTTTAAGTATTAGTTGTGATAGTATAGACCGATCCTTGCTGTGGAACTAAAGTGTGTTTTTAAAGTTTTTGTTTCTTTTTATAAAAAAATGTCTTGTTGCGCCGTGTTTGCTCGACTGAAAGTTTCCTCATCCCTTGGTGAGACCCTCCTCTAATTCAATCTTTGTCTTTTGTCTTTGCTGCCTTGCAGGGTTGGTACAGTAGGCTTCACTAGACTTAGCTGCAACTCAGAATTTCTCCTCCAGCACCTGAGTAAATGCTGATGGTCTTGTGGAGTGTGGATTAAGAGTACGAGCTAAGTTCTCAAATCCCAATTAAGAAGCGGAGGAAAATTTAAACTGTCTCCTTCAAAGTTTATCACAACCACCACCATCAAGACAGCAAACCAAAGGACAAAGACTTTGACCTGCTGTGTTGCTCTGTATAGTCCAGTTCACGTATGGTTTACAGACTTGGCTGAGGTTACTAATAAGTAAAAAAAAGTTGGACACTTCTGTCATTTGGACGCTTTTATTCACGAGTTACCAGAATGAGGGCTGTTCTGGAGACAGCAGACATTGCCATAGTGGCCCTGTATTTTATCCTGGTGATGTGCATTGGTTTTTTTGCCATGTGGAAATCTAATAGAAGCACCGTGAGTGGATACTTCCTGGCGGGGCGCTCTATGACCTGGGTAGCAATTGGTGCCTCTCTGTTTGTGAGCAATATTGGGAGTGAGCACTTCATTGGGCTGGCAGGATCTGGAGCTGCAAGTGGATTTGCAGTGGGCGCATGGGAATTCAATGCCTTACTGCTTTTGCAACTTTTGGGATGGGTTTTCATCCCAATTTACATCCGGTCGGGGGTATACACCATGCCTGAATACTTGTCCAAGCGATTTGGTGGCCATAGGATTCAGGTCTATTTTGCAGCCCTGTCTCTGATTCTCTATATCTTCACCAAGCTCTCAGTGGATCTGTATTCGGGTGCCCTCTTTATCCAGGAGTCTTTGGGTTGGAACCTCTATGTGTCTGTCATCCTGCTCATTGGTATGACTGCTTTGCTGACTGTCACCGGAGGCCTTGTTGCAGTGATCTACACAGACACTCTGCAGGCTCTGCTCATGATTGTTGGGGCACTCACACTTATGATTATTAGCATGATGGAGATTGGTGGGTTTGAGGAAGTTAAGAGAAGGTACATGTTGGCCTCACCTAATATCCCTTCCATCTTGTTGACATACAACCTATCAAACACAAATTCTTGTAACGTCTACCCTAAGAAAGAAGCCCTAAAAATGTTGCGGGATCCAACAGATGAAGATGTTCCATGGCCCGGATTCATCCTTGGGCAGACCCCAGCCTCAGTGTGGTACTGGTGTGCTGACCAAGTCATCGTACAAAGGGTCCTGGCAGCCAAAAACATTGCTCACGCCAAAGGCTCTACTCTTATGGCTGGCTTCTTGAAGCTTCTGCCAATGTTTATCATAGTTGTCCCAGGAATGATTTCCAGGATACTGTTTACTGATGATATAGCTTGCATCAACCCAGAGCACTGCATGCAAGTGTGTGGAAGCCGAGCTGGGTGCTCCAATATTGCTTACCCACGCCTGGTGATGAAGCTTGTTCCTGTGGGCCTTCGGGGGTTGATGATGGCTGTGATGATTGCAGCTCTAATGAGTGACTTGGACTCTATATTTAACAGTGCCAGTACTATATTCACTCTTGATGTGTACAAACTCATCCGCAAGAGTGCAAGCTCCCGGGAACTAATGATTGTGGGGAGGATATTTGTGGCTTTTATGGTGGTAATCAGCATAGCATGGGTACCAATCATTGTGGAGATGCAAGGTGGCCAGATGTACCTTTACATTCAGGAGGTAGCAGATTACCTGACCCCCCCAGTGGCGGCCCTGTTCCTTTTGGCGATTTTCTGGAAGCGCTGCAATGAACAAGGGGCTTTCTATGGTGGAATGGCTGGCTTTGTTCTTGGAGCAGTCCGTTTGATACTGGCCTTTGCCTACCGTGCCCCGGAGTGTGACCAACCTGATAATAGACCAGGCTTCATCAAAGACATCCATTATATGTATGTGGCCACTGCATTGTTTTGGGTCACAGGACTCATTACTGTAATTGTCAGCCTTCTCACGCCACCTCCCACAAAGGAACAGATTCGCACCACCACCTTTTGGTCTAAGAAGAACCTGGTGACAAAGGAAAGCTGCTCTCAGAAAGATGAACCATACAAAATGCAGGAGAAGAGCATTCTGCGATGCAGTGAGAACAGTGAGGCCATCATCCATGTCATTCCCAATGGGAAATCTGAAGATAGTATTAAGGGCCTTCAGCCTGAAGATGTCAATCTTTTGGTGACCTGCAGAGAGGAGGGTAACCCTGTGGCTTCCTTGGGTCATTCAGAGGCAGAAACACCGGTAGATACTTATTCCAATGGGCAAGCGGCTCTCATGGGTGAGAAAGAGAGAAAGAAAGAAACAGAGGATAGAAGCCGGTACTGGAAGTTCATAGACTGGTTTTGTGGCTTTAAAAGTAAGAGCATCAGCAAGAGGAGTCTCAGAGACTTGATGGAGGAGGAGGCTGTCTGTTTACAAATGTTAGAAGAGACTCCACAAGTTAAAGTCATACTGAATATTGGACTTTTTGCTGTGTGTTCTCTTGGAATTTTCATGTTTGTTTATTTCTCCATATGAACTTAAGGATATGATGAGACATTTAACTTAATACTGGTCTTTGGAAAAAAATTATGTAACTGTTGCATCTCTCAGGCATTGTTTACGCTGTAGGTTTTAGCCAAATTTTACTTAGCAGAAAATCATCTATTTGCAAGACTTTATTTTCCCAGACATGGATTAAAGTAAATCTTCAACTTTTAAATGAAGCAAAACAGACTGAAAAGTTAAAAAATGTGGTTTAAAAATTTCCATACCAAAGTAAGGAGAGACCAATTATTCTCAGATATCTTAGCACATAATAAATGTTAAGGTATCATGAATAAGATATTGTCTGCACTGCCAGGTCTTGGTAGACCTTAATGCTGAAGTAGAAGATTTGCTCATTTCTAAGTTTTTTCTGTCTCCGTAATTCGCACTACCATTTAAAAATACAATAACTGAATTTTACATATTGTATAATCAATTATGTTCTGAAACTCTAATGTGTGGTATGTATTTCAAGACAGGTTAGTTTGCCAGGTTAATTTTTGTGTGTGACTGTGGATTCTGATTGCCAAAAGAGAGGAAGAATGTTATTCTGTAGGTGTTTTTGTACCACCTGTATGTGGAATGTTGGGGGTGTGGGCTGATCCGGTTCTTCCCCCACCTGTTTTTTCCTACTTTTCACTGAAATTTAATGAACCACATAATGAACACCAAGTCTGTTTATAAAGTTACATATTCAAATTGTATTACTGAATGATTATGGGGGGAAGTAAAATAAATGTTACTGATGATCCCCACCTTTATTGACCAAATTAAGGTGGTTTTTACATAGTTTGAGAATTACCAGCTTCCAAGCAGTGTTTGATTAACTTTGTCAAGCAGATGATTAATCATACTTCAATGAATTTGACTTTTTTTCCTTGTCATTTGATAACATTCTTTATTAGTTAAAAACCCAGTAGATTGAGTTGGAAGGTTTGTACAGTATCTTGAACAAACGTTTTCACTGCTTTTTGTGTTGCTGGGTTATCATGATATAGCAAGGGAAAATTTAATTCTGAGATCATACTGCATTCTTGATAATTTTTCTTATTTTGTATTTTTTCCTCAAAAGATTTACCATCTGTACACAGCCTGTACATCTTGTTGTGAGCATGTAAGGATGTTTCAGTGCAAACTGGCCATTAGTACCAGAAAACTCAGAGTGCACACTTGCCATTGGTAGATTATTTGTAGGATGGATAGCATGTTTAAGAGATGCCATAAACAAGAACTTCTGGGTTTAGTACTGTACTTGTGGAGGAAATTATAGGACTTGTGTAATTATAGGATCCTTATCTTGACATGGTTTACCCAGTTGCATCATCCACAGGTGGGAATCTATTTTTCCTTAGTGAGGAAGAGGACTGATGATGTTAGAGAAGAGCTTTGCAGGGGATGTAGCTCTGTGTCCTCAGCACTGTCCTTTTTCCTCCCTGAAAAATAAGAAAACTAATTGTATCTACTTTCTTTGACTTTCTTTAAACTAATACTTTTTAAATTGCATGATTTTTATTAAGCTTGTATTCTTTAGGAAAATTACTTTTATAGATACTTTCATAGATTTTGAATCAAAACTCAGTCCTGATGACTTTGAAATTTTTTAGCGTATAAACTAATTTGTTTTTGATGGACTTGATTAGTCCAAAGTTGATTTCAGAAATTATCAGGTATAATGTCTTCCCATCATCAGGAAGCTTTTTGATGGACTGAGTCTGTAGGTGAAAAAGTAATTCATGTATGAATAGCATGTATTTCTAAAGCGCTTAAGAGTGCCTTGTAGAATTTTTTTTTTCCTCAATTTCATTCTTAAGGTTTATCTGGGGATCAGATAGATAGGGACCATCCTTTCCTTGTATGGAGGTTGAGGCTGTGACATGTTCAAGGTTAGAAAATCTATTTCAGAAGAACAAAAATCCAGTCTCCAAATCTGGACTCTACATTTGTCAAGACAAATGATTTGTCCATGGTTTGTGCTTTTCCTAAAGTAAGTGTTCTTCCTTTGGGACAACCTTTTGGTATTTGGAAAAGTAATAGGATCTTGGGTTTTCCAAATTGGCATTAAGCTGTACGAATTAACATTTTCTTTGAACATACTGCTGTGTAACTCAGCAGTGAGAATTGACACATTGGCTGGGTAGCCTTCCTATTGCTTCTATTTATTTATCAATAAGTGAATAGGAGGTATTTATGTAGATCCCCACCCTTGATTTCATGTTAGGTCCTAGTGCTTTGGAGTATTTGAGCCCCGTCCCACCCCCAATCTCTGCTGTTGTCTTAGTATGATACATAGAATACATCATCTTGTGTCTGGTGTATGTATAGCAGTAGGTCAAGTTTAGATTACTAATGTTTGTAAATAAAGAATGACTATTAGTGTATCCATTAGAATTCTTTACTCTTGCCAGTATAAACATCACTTTATTTAGACGGAATTCCCTGAAGCTTTGTCCTCTTCATTGTTTCCCAGTAATAAATAATGTGCTTGAATAGGTAGGTGAATTGCTGATGGCAGCTTTATTTCAGGGGTCTAATCTTCAGTCTTCATTAGAATGATTATTCCTAGGAAATGACATATGGACTGTCTTAAGCTAGCAAAGTGTTCCTGCTTTATACTGAGTAAATGAGTCATAAAAGATGACATTGGTCTCTAGACATTAATGTGTATATTTTGTTCAAGTTAAGTTTTAGAATTGACCAAGTGATATTATACTGACTAAAATAGTAGCTAACCATCAGAATGAGGTGAGAATACTGGTCTTCAAAGGTAGAGAAAAATGCCACCAAATCAGCTGCAAAATGTGTTTCCCACGCTCTTAAATTTTTGTCTTCTCAGGCAGTCTTTGTCTCCAGATTGGATACAAAGGACTTACTACAGAGATATGCAAAAGGATAGTTTGCTTTTTTTGTGGAGACTAGTTTCTCTGTCTTTTAGATTCTGTCCTGCCACCCCAAGAGGGAGGTGATCACTTTTGCCTTTAGAAAGCAGTAGCAGTGGTTCTGTGTCCTTTGACCCAAATTTAAGAGATCTGCTCTCTTTATGGATCCTCTTGGCTCAAAGGATCCATTGTCTTTTTACCCAGAGGGGCTGGCCAGGATCATGTAGCCAATAGCTCTTAGGAATGGCACCTCAAGCAATTAGGAAGGACCCATCACTCTGTGAAACTTTTTATTTTAAGAGTTGGGTGGGACAGTTACTCAGTCTAACCTGAAGCTAAGCAGAGGGTTAAAAGTCTTGTCTGGAGAATTAGAGTCTTTATGTTTCTCCATTGGCAGTCCACAGCTTTTTTTCTCTATATTAGGTGCATAGATCTTCTCCTCTCTTTCAATGTCATTTAATATAGAAGTCATTCTCATTCTTTTCTACCAAATAAACCAGCTGTATTTTTAGCCATTAAAGGGTTAGGTCCTTCAACATTCCCACCTGGCAGTATTAGGCTTACTCATTACCTTGTGTTTTCCCTAACTCATTTTCATCAGAAGTGTGATGACTGGAAAGGGACTATATGGATGTCTGGTAATGACTCCTCACCATTCCCTAGGTTTTGGGTTGAGAGAGATGTCTAAGGCCATTCCTCTTAGATTATGTAATTGTGGAGTCTTGCCAAGACAGAATTTTCCTAAGAAATCAGGAAAACTATTAAGTAGGATATCAATAAGTACTTGGGTGATACAGATGTGGACAGTTGGTAAACTACAAACATTAGCTTAATTTATAGCCTTAGAGTCATATTCATTGCATTCTAGATCTTGAAGCATCTTGGCTATCAGCTAATTAAGCCACTCCCCTTATAAATTGGGGTATCAGTGTATAAAGATCCAGCCTGCTAACTCCTGGTTTAATGTCGAATATAATACAAATTTATTAATATTAGAGGTTAGAATGGGATTTGATAGTGTTAACTTGTAGGCTTTAGCATTCAAGATTTCTTCATTAGCCAGGTGCTTAGGTGCTTAAGTCACTTCATAGGTTGATATTAGCCCAACGGGATTTTATAGTGGCATATATCAATGTGTTTGTTTTTATCTCCATACCATTCTGAGAGATTGGTCTTTTTATCTTTATTCACATTGCTTCTTTAATATTTCAACTTTCTTTCAACAAATTAATATTTTGCTCTTTGGTCAGCTTATTTCACTTTCAGGCATACTGTCTTGGTGTTTAATTACTGTCCTTTTCCCCCAGTATTAAGGACTTAGTTCCAAATAATACTTTGTATATTATAAATGTTAATTAACTTAAAATGTTAATTCTTGACAAATTGTCTCAGATTTGTGTTGACTAAATGATAAAAGCACTAATGGTTCATCACTATTCTCAAAACTCCATCTCAAAAATTAGAGAGCAATAGTGAAAATTCATGAGTACCTTTGAAATGACGGTGGGGTCAGAATGCAGAAACAATGGAGTTTGCTTTAATGCCAAAAACAAAAACAAATTATTCTTGCAGTAAATAAAGGTAAAATTTTGGAAGTAGTCAGCATATTAAGAAACCTTGGATCATATAAGAAGTAATCTTTTGAATATTAGAATTGGTTGACTTAATTCAGTGTTGCAGACCCTTTTCCTCATTAAGATCACTTCTTTTAATTTTTTTTTTTATTATTATCAGACTCTTATGGAATACTACTTGGACTTTTAGAAGAGAATTAGGCTAAGCTTCTAAGTAATAAACTTTGTCAGCACTGAGTGCCACATCATTCACTTAGCTGTGTAAATGTATTTTACTTTTCAATTCTGGGAATAAGATTTTACACTGCTGATTCACCTTTAAAGAAATGTGAAATTGATGTCATTTGTGTTTCTTTCTCAACTCCTTTGTAGAAGGTGAAATTTGGTTGGTGGTTTTGGGGTAGGCACCTACCTCATGTATCTGGTAACCAACAACCATAACCTTGACAACCTTTTACTTAAAAATGAACAGAAAGGGTTTGGTGTGTTTGTATCATTACTAATCTCATGTGCTATACTCTGTAAGTGGAGTATCATACATGATCTGTGGCTGTTGTTGAATTAAAACCAGTAACCTTAATTGAATTTACTTACTTGGGCTGGAAGCATGTTTGAAGACAGGTGTGCTGGAAAAAGTTATGTAGCTTGAAGAACAAATCAGGATAATATGTATTGGTCCCAGATTTCTAGTACAGGAAAGTGGTTTTGCTCTCCTCCAAAAAGGAGAAAAGCACTATGCCATAACTACAGCCTGTAATAAATGAAGCTCTCCCAAGCACTTCAAGACAGTTTATGTTTAGTGAACTATGCTGATAAGGGAAGTCACATCATAGTGATTTTTTTTTTTTTTGCAACAGCACAAGTTGATAGTAGATATCCACAACCTAATTATATTTTGGTGAATTTACTCTATTCCTTAGTGCTTCTGGATAAAGAAGTATTTAGTTATCAGTGTGGCCTGTACTTCTATAAGTTCATTAGCAATTTACTTTTTTGGTATGATAATTAGAAATTGAAATTAGGCTTATTGCTATTAGTGAAATCCCCACTTGTCAAAGGCCAATACATGGTATTTCATAGTATAACAATTCTTGAAATTGATGTGTTTGGATTAGTGCCTTCTGGTTACCAGTATTGACTCTGTTAGTTTTCACCTTTCCTTTTCTTATAGAAAATTCTTATTTGGTACTACTCCTTCAGTTTTAGTATAACTAGTAAAGAGCATTAAAAAAAAAAAAACTCTCATATTTACATTTCATGCAAGCTTTAGGTTCAGGGAAACAAGTAGGTGGACCTTTGTGTTGCTGCTTAATGTTATTTGTCTTTATTTGCTTTTATATCCATAATTGAAAATTTAAAGTTATATAATTCTTTCGGTTTTATCATTAATCCATTATAGGTTCCATAAGTAAATCTGAGAACATGTGACAACAGTTCATATTCTATGATAGAGAAAAAAC